TCTGTTATCAAGAGAGCAAATGTGATAGGGCAGCTTTTTTTGCCTGGCTGCTTTGAACTCAGCGTGCTGTCTCCCATCCACATCCTGACCTTGCAGTGGTGCAGGATAGCTACAGATTGCCCATGCTGGGATTTGTACCTTCAACTCCAGAAAGAATGAATACAGCCCTGCAGTCTGAATCCCTCTTTACCTCAAGTATGCTGGCCACATCCTTTCTTACCCCTCAATTCTATGTAGATAAGTTGTTCTTCTTCTCCTGACTTGGAACGATTAGTATTTCCATTTCTGTTAAGCAGCTCTTTGTGATCCAATTTATTTGTGAGTGTGTGTGTGATTCTAGAAGATACTGCCTGGAAAGCATGGCGTATGCACAGTCTGACTCTCTGATGCCCCATTCACTCCCTTTCATTGTATATTCACTGCAAAAATGCTCTCAGTTTAAAGGTGACATCCATGCTCCCTCTGGTGTAACTGGCTACATGAATTGCAGGTAGAATCAGGATCTGTCTGCCAATGGCGATATCCAGTGCTGACTCTTCCGGGCTGGTATACAATAAAACCAGCATTGTACAAATAGCCTACACCAGTACTTGCAGTGAAGCCAGGCTCCCCAGCCCCTGTGATAACATTAGCAGTACTGAATGCAGTAATGTGGCAGCTCAGAAAGCTGTTTTCTGCCTTGGGCTTTCCAGGGCTGGTTATCTTTCAAAGATAACTGCCTGTCCATATGCCTTTCTGCTCTTTTGGAGGGAGTGATTAGCAGTGGGGAAAACACAAAAGCATTAAGTATCCCAAAGCCTATCCACAACAGACGTGTCCCCAGGGCACCAGTTGCAGATCCAGAATCAGGCTTCTGCCAGCATTTTAGCGATTTGGTTTTATGGTGCAGTTCAGCTCACTGGAAAGGCTGACCAGGGATCTGTAGGTTTCAAGCTTTACCTCATCTGAGCATTTGCACAGCACTGTGCAAGGAACCTCAGCCAATAATCATCATATCACACTCTTCTCAGTTGTTTGAACCACGTCTCCTCCTTCATAAGAGATCCTCTCTTGATTTTATAATGTGAGGGAAAGTGCCTTAGTTTGTTTTTCCAGTGCTTCACTACTATTACTATTAATCTACTCCTTGTTTTTCATCTGGGCTCGTCAAAATCAGAAGATCTCGTGCCTTTTTCTGAAACCCTAAAGAATGGTTCTTATCAGCTTCCTCTTACTGTGAAATCAGTATCAAGTCACCTCTTCTCCGAGAAAAAGCTGAATAGATTATACTTCCTTATTTGTTAATGCTTTCCGAGTCTGATTCTTGTGGATGTTTTCTGTGCTTTTTCAAGCTTTGCAGCTAGCCACTAGAACTAGGACATTGTACTGTATGCCAGTGGTCTTCCTAGCATTGTAGGTGGTGGAGACTAGTATCTCCCTTCTTCTGCTTGATGATTTCCTCCTTAGTTGTGCAATAAGTGTTCCACCTTTTGTGGGTGGTTTGGAACACAGCTAGTTCTATTCAAGACCTCGCCAAGCCTTTTTCAGAGTTAATGCTTTCCAGGACACCAACTAACCTCTACTGAGTGTGGTTTAAGTTCTTTGCTAGCAGTTGTTTGATTTTAGAGTTGACTACAGTGAGAGTCATGTCCTTAAACTCAAACTCTTCATCTGTTGCAGATATAAAAGATACACACATACTGTAAAAAAACACCAATCTAGATGTCGTATGTGCACAAAGATGTACCCACCCCTATACACAAAGATCTGAGATCTGACTTGCACCGGGCGGAAAGGAGATTCCTCTGGAATCTACAGTATGGCCATCCACCCTTAACCATTCCTTCTTGCAAACTAACCAGCTTAAATTCCATTTAGTAGGGGTGCAGCTGCCATATGCAGGGTTGAAGAGTCTTACCAGAATGCTGTATGGGACAAAGTCAAATATCACACAGTGGGCATAGTCAATTATATCAACAGTTGACTTATCATGAGACCAGTTGTGGTCTCATGAAAGACTGGAGACAAGTTTAATGGACAAGCCTTTTGTTTGTAAGAAACTTGTTATTTGGCATGAGCTATGTTGCCAGCCTTTAATTTTTAAAGCACGACGTGATTTTGGGATTAAAATTCAGAAGGAGAAGCCCTTCCAGATCCAGGCCTCCATTCCATACCTGCAGCTCTCTCATACTCTGTAAATCCCCAGCAGCTGACAAGATGCTGTCTGTTTGCTCTGGTCCTGTATAGGAACCAGAAGTGAGCAGACAGGAGCCAGCAGAAATGATATTTGAATTAGAGCAGAGGTTTTGCTAGGGGGTCCGGGGCCTAAGGATACATTTGGTTCAGGAGGAAGGTTAATGCAGCTTTTGATCTGATATAAACTGGCTCGTGCTTCTTCTAGAGGTGATCCTTTTACACTCACCCCCTGAGCTTCAGCCACAAAATGAGCTGTGTACCGACACACAGCCAGGGAGTCCAGCATGCAAACACACACATGCATGCGCGCGCGCGCGCACACACACACACACACACACACACACACACACACACACAGAGCTTACTAGGCTGAACTCTTCAACTCCTACCAGCCTCAAGAAACGAAAGCTAAAGGGAAGCCCGTAGGCAGGTGCTGTCATCCATTCAAACTGACGTATGTTGTCAAGGTGCAGGGTCCTTGAAAAGGCAAGCACAGGCCATCTAACGCACCCTATTTTTGTAAGAAAATCATTCAATACGGTGTATAGGCACCAGCTCCTCATAAATCAGTGCTGTCAATTACCCTTTTTCATAACGTTATGGGAATGCAGATATGAAAGCTGTTGTGCAGAGCACCTGTCCACATCAGAAATCCTCTCCTTGGAGAAGGCATTGTGTTCTAGTGAAAGGGCATCACTGGCAGCACTCCTCCCCCTGCAGTGAATGATTCAGTCCTTCACTCCAGGGGAGTGGCCCTTCCGTGCTAGGTGCACTCTAAGGGCAGACAAACTCATTACACCATATTTTCCAGCCCATTGAAAAGGTAACGTGCTGAGCTAATATTTTGCTCCAGGTTAGAAGGTCCAGCTGGAACATGAGGTTCATTGGCCTGCAGTTTCCTTAAAGTTGGGGCTAGCAGCACACAACCACGTAAGATGGTGACTGCAGCATGTCTGAGGGCTCTCACTTGGGCCAGCTGAGCTTTTCTGGCATGTGATGTCCTTCTGTCTCTTATTCACAAAGACATTTCCTTTCAGCTAGAAACAAATGCTTGACTTTCTTCCTCGAGCCTTAGGATGAAGTCCTGGCCCCACTTAAGTCAACAGCAAAACTTCCAGTGACCTTACTGGAGCCAGGATTTCACCCATAATGGTTTGCAATGTGCCATGAGAGTCTCAGACAGCAAGTTTTAACCGTGACCTTAACATTTCGGTACTCTTAGATACTGAAGGACTGTCCTTAGTAAGGAAAAAGACATGCATTTAGATGACTTGGGATTTGAGAATGTTTTTTTAGAACCCTGGGGTGGTTTGAGATCAGAGCCAAGCATCCAAATCTTAAGGACCTCTCTATCCTCCTATTCCATTTCCTAAAGAGTAAAGCCTACTAGCCAAGCTGCAAGTTGGCCACTTCACATAGGGAACAATGTGATCTGTTCCTGGCTGCAGTGCGTCTCTCCATGCTTTCCCCACAGGTCATCTCGTGTTCCTGGACTGTATCACTTGCAAAGACCCTCTAGGACGGGCAAAGGTGGCTCTCATTCCTAATCCTTCACATTCCTTCAACACGTCCTTGCTGGAGTTTGGCCTAGCACACAGTGTAAAACAGAGCGCTGTCTGGGGGATACTGTATTTTTCCACAAACCATTCTCAACCTTAGCTTGGCAGCTGAGCCCCCTTTCTGCTGGGAATGCTCCCTGTATATGAGCTGCTCTCTCAGTGCCTCTCACTGGAGGCTTGTCCTCTGCAAAGCGCGAACTGAAGAGCCAGCTCACTAGCCTGGCAAGGGAGGACTGAGCAATCAAGAATAATGTGATGAGAGCAGGCATCTGAGATTTAATTTACCATGAAACCTGGGATAAGTCGGTTTACTGATCTGTGCCTGGCTTTGCCCAGTAGAATAGGATGACAAGGTGATTATTTTTAAGCACAAGTGCAACAGAAGTGCTGGGCATTAGCTAAAGCTATATTAATGAAAGGCCCAATTAACATATATAAATCAAACAGACCTACATTTCAGCTGAAGATTTCTTCCTTAGGCAATCTGAAGTTGAGTGTACAGTGTATAATTCCAGAGAACAGTGGGCTACATCTTTGGGAAAATATCAGACTTCTTCAGAAAAACTTGCATGATTTGGTCCCAGTGCCAGTGATGTTTTGTAGAATATGTTTGATTGCAAAAGCTCTCTGTTACACTGTGTGAGGGCCAGGACTTGAATCTGGGACAAAGTAGGAACAAACACCAAACTTCACCTGCAAGGCAAGCTACACCTGCATGGGATACTAGATGAGATGGCTTCGAGCCTGCTCGGATGAAATAGTTAACAGCTTACCAGAACAGTATGAGATTTCAGAGTGAACAAGTTAATTGAAACAGATGAAGCAACTGAAGAGTTGCTGAAGACTCAGGCAGGCTTCACTGGAACTATATTTTTAAGGTTTTTCTCTGCAAACATAAAAATTACAATCTTTTACTTTATCCTCTTTTTCATTTAGATTGCGAAGCACAAATTGAGAACCTTCCACATTTATATTTTTTACTACCAGCCTCCCGGACTCCTCAAAATTGGCCCTACTGTCTAAGACTGAGTGCTGTAAGGCATGGATGGTTTTATGGGATCTTTAAGTCTGTTGATCATACCACAAAAGCAGAAGATGTGTTGTGTGCCATCTTTTTGCTGGAGCAAATGGACTGTGACAACATAGTTTTCTTACAAGGGTAGAAGGTAGACAGTGCCAACAATTTGAGGAGAGTCTGGCATGAATCTTTTAGGATGCCTCCCTTGCTTTTACATATCAAAAGCACTCTTTCCACTCTTTCTACAGGTAAGAAAAATTCCATTCTGCTGCATAAAGTCCAGCATGACCTCAATTCGGGTGTTTTCAACTACCAGGAGAATGAGATCATCCAGCAGATTGTGCAGCATGACAGAGAGATGGCACACTGTGCTCACAATGTCCAGGCAGCCGCCGCCGCCGCTGCTGCAGCCGCATCCACACCCACCCCTGTCATCTGGACTCCACTGATCCAGGCACCCCTGCAAGCTGCAGCAGCCACCACGTCTGTCGCTATAGCTCTGACCCACCACCCACGTCTCCCAACAGCCATCTTCCGTCCTCCAGTGTCTGTCTTGGGTTCCTTGGGACAATCCAGCCAGACTCCAAGACAGCTGAAAAGGCTTCAGTCTCTAATCCCATCAACTGGGCCTTCTGCTGTAGGCTCTCCCTCCAGTACTCCATCTCAGCTGCATACACCAGGAGCAGAAACCCCTTCATCCTCTTCCTTCCACATCCAGCAGCTCGCAGGATTCTCAGCCTCTGCTGGCTTAGGCCAGTTCCACCAGGCCTCAGTGGGATCTCCTCCAGCTGGCTCAAGCCAGCCAGTTTTGAGCGGCACGTCCTCAGTGGGACTGAACCAGTTCCAGCAAGCATCTTCTGGATCACCGTTAGGGACAGGTCAACCCATGCAGCAGCAGCAACAGCAGCAGCAGCAGCCGCCGCCCCTTTCCAGCAGTGGATTTGGGCACTTCCAGCAAGCAACAACTAGCTCCCCATCAACCTCATTCACCCAGCTGTCGTCAAATTCACCCCCCAGTCTTCTCAACCAGTTTCAGCCCACCACAAGACCTCTGCAGGGGGGACAGTTACAGCAGCTCTCGGGCAGTGGGACTTTGGGGGGAATTAATCACTTCCAACCCCCTCCTTCTTCCAGTTCTCCATCCTCCAGCCTAAGCCAGCTTGCACAGGCCTCTGGTGGGCCATCCTCAGGCCTGTGCCAAACACATCCAAGTGCATTAGGATCTTTAACTGGAACGATAGCCCAGCTCCACCAAGAAAGGTCACCTTTTGCCTCCATGTCTCCACTACAGCAGTCTGGCGTCGCCTCTCCCTGTTATACTCCTTCTGGCCTTAGTCCTCCTAGTCAGAGCCCAGTGGCAACAAGAACTTTTCAGTGTGGCCCTTCCGGGGCCTCCGGCTCTCACGGATCTCTGCTCCTGTCTCAGACCGCCAGCCCGCCTCCTCAGATCCTGCAGTCCAAGAGCACGCCACCCCTGCCGCCGGGACGTCTGAGCCAGGACATCAAGCTGATCTCTGCTTCCCAGCCATCTTTGCCCCAAGAGCTGGCTCAGACGCTGAGCCAAAGTTCTCCTCAGTCCTCCAGGGAATCTGTTTCCAGCTTCTCTCCTTTCCCTGGTGGAGGGGCTGGACTTCTTGGGAAGCCTTGTAGCTCAATTCCTGGGCGTGTGACTTTACCACGTCAGATGTCCTCAGGTTCTTTACCACATCCACTGGTGTTTGGGGCCAGCGCTGCAGGCACTACTTCTCTGACTGCTGGTGGGCGGAAAGAATCCATAGTGCTCACAGGGGATCTGGAGCCTGTCAGATCCAAACTGCCCTCCAATTTGTGAGGACTCCTTCTGAAAGCTGGTTATGTCAGCCGTGCAATTTAGTTCCCGATTAGACTTTCATGAATCATTTTTTCTTTTTCTTTTTTTCTCTTTTTTTCCCCCCATTTCTTTTCTTTAGGTTTAACTGTGATTAGAAATAAACAAAAACATTAAAAAACAACAAAAAAGAAGATAACCAGGTATTCTTAGAGCTATAGATTTTTGGTCACTTGATTTTTTAGAATATTTTAATACATGGAGCAAAAGGATATTGGAAAATTTAATCCAACGAGGTAACGCACAGACAAGGCGTGTGCCTGAGCTGGAACATATGAATGATCAGCCATAGAAGCCACCAAAAATGGTTTTCCTGTTGAGACAAAGATCCGAGGTTGACGTGGGCCATAAAAGGGAACATCAGGTCAGGCCCGTAGCTGGTGTATTTGGAACAGCTCTGGTTGGCCTCAGCTTCGCACTGCTTTGCACCAGCTGTGAACCTAGCCCCGCAGCACCTAGATTTGGGGGGACTTGGATTACTCACTGCACACATCGGAAAGTTTCACTTCCTCCCAGGTTTTCTCCTGTGATCAGCAGGTTGCAGAGGAAGCAAGAAGAGGGGTGAGTTTCACTAAAGCGGTCCCTCCCAGGAGTTGCAGAAGGGCTGAGTTTTTGTTTGTCTCTTTCTTAGACTCCATCTGAAGAAGATAAAGGTGACCAGGAGATGGACGGGCCTGACTTCAGATGCTTGTCTCTTTCTCGTTCCGCTGATGCTCTAGTGGGAACAAGAAATAGTACTCATAGGGAGGGCAGTGAATATCCCTGCTGTATTGCCATAGGCATCGTGGATGTGGGTTATGGGAGGAGAGATCCCAACTCTGTGCCAGCACGCCGGGCTACTGGCCCCGGCAGAAGAGCTCAAGCCTCAGCCTCTTCGTGGTTTGAAAAGCATGTGTGCTGCATTCCTGGTTGGGGCATGCAAAGCAAGGGGAGGGATGAAGAAAGAGACAGCACTTTAACCGTCACTCTCTCAGTCTTAATGTCTCAGTGTCCATGGGCTGACTGCTTTAAAAAGAACTGGGCAGAATAAGATCAAAAAGTGGGGTGCAGTCATCCCAGCCCTCTTCCTCCTCAGCCCATGGGAGTTTGAGCTTTGAGGCAGTGAGGGTAGTATTGGTGCCCAGCCAAGAAATCCTTCAGATTTGCAACTATGTTTATACCATTAAAAAAGATGAAAACCAGAAATTTGGCCAGCCACGGTCCATGCTTCTCCTCTGATGGGGGAATTGAAATCGTTTGCTTGATTTCACCAGCAATAACAGCCTGCATTGGCTCTGGTCTCGCCCTGCAGTTGCAGCATCACTGGACATGTCTGAAGCCTGGCAGGGTCCTTGAGCTGGATTTTTGGGGCTCCCCTGAGCTAAAGTGGGAAGAAGACAGTAAGGGGCCATTGGGTGCACACAGCACTGAGAAGCTACAGCCTTTACCTCTAGAACAAATGTCTCCTTTTCTTTTATTTTTGTTTTGTTTTGTTTTGTTTTCCCTTAACCCAGCAGGTGTCTCTGGGCCCTCACGGTAAAGAGTCAGGTGCTCAATTTTTCTAACATTTGCTAGAAATACATGTCCAGCCTCCCTCTGTTTCCAACTATGACGAAGGCCCTCCAGCCCACAAGGGGAAGCAGGACTTCCTGCAGCAGTGCCAAAACAACTTAATAATTATCACAATAACAGTGCAGATCCTTCTGGCCCCCCTTACCTCCACCTGCCCCCACTCTCTCCCAAAACATTGGTTGACAGCTAATTTTTAGGTGGAATTGTTTGCAAAACTCTGACAA